TCTATAGCCTATACATCCTTAATCGCGCTACCAACTGTTAGTTAACTTCTCGTACAAGTTTCTCACACGACAGTCGAGTTCAAAAACTCGCATAAAAATAAGAGCTGATCGATAGATTACGGATTTAATAATAACGGACGAAATAAAACTTTCGTCGATCACGCAATCCAGAAAGTAATTTCTTTCTCACGACAAGTATTCCGCATGTGTGTATTTTTGTTTTTTATAAATGCATAAAATCAGTGAGCTACTTTGATTAATCTGAAGCTCTAGACTTTCTATTAATTTATGCACTTTTGCATACTTGAAGCGTCTATAAATGCGAGAACCTGATGAATTTCACGAAACTATTGTTTTAATTCGCTTTTAATTCGTTCCGAGCAACTGTTTACCAAAGAGTTATACAGCGCACGTTTCCAAAAGCGGATATTCGTGAGCGCGCGTTTAATCAGGGATATGTTTCATTGCATAGCTGTGCATTATACTTTTCTACCGTTCTTGTTATTGGTCGTTTCGCGACATTGGTACGCGAACGCAGGAACCAGCTGACGCGAGTCCAGGGTGTACACGCTTATACGTGGGCGGGTGTATGCCTTCGGATTAAATTCAGCCGCGTGTGCACGGATTCATTTCGAACCCAGCTTTTCGGCCGGGAAACTTTCACGGCGTCCGATACCGTAAATGACTGCAATTATCCGCGTCTCAGTATTACAGAGCAAATCACGATTATTGGCAATTATATTTCGTTCCACAAGCGGGTACAAATATTTCCGTTTTAATTCGAGTCGCATTTTAGAATAATAATGGATAACGTATGGGATATTTGTTTAATGATTTTTGAAATAATGCAAAGTGCCAATTATATCATCGGCAGAAGAGCATGCAAAGTTAATAGAGCATTATGTCGTTCGCGTTTGAACAATTTTGTACGGATTGGATTCGCGGTGATTTTAATCAATTCGTGGACCATTACAAAGTTCCCACGTAGCGAGCCGTGCGATGCGACATGGAGTAAAATTTGTATAATTCACGGTTGGAGGATTATTTGGTTAACTATAGCGGTTTTACGAGGAGGAAAACTTGTCCGCCCCAGTGTAATCTTATCAATATTTATGCTACACGTCCGAGCCAAGGATCGGTAACAAAATCTTGAGATTTCTCTCTTATTGTCCACCCTCGAGAAAGGAATACCCCGACCATCGCGGAACATTTTCTGCAATGGAGTTGCCGTCTCTGGAACGACGTCCATCGATAAGTTTTCTCGAGCGATGTTATGACCGAACCGGGGACATCGATTTCTTCCTCGCTCCGCCCTCGTGAATCAGAATTCACGAGTACGAACGTTGAATCGCAGCGAAACTTTCTCAAGGATCGCTTTTGATCGCGGCTGAATCTCCGAATGGGATCCTCTTCTGAGTTACTCGGATCTATTGCCATCTTTTTATCTGATTCGTTTCACCGGCGTCGGTGGTATTGTAATATATTATTCGCGTTAACAGGAAAACAGATTTTATAAACAGAAACTCGATGGCTCGAGTTCAGCGTTCGCAGAACTTTAACGGTACATTAAGAGGATTTATAGGAACAAGTTAGGTAGCGCGGTTTAGGTTTTAATTTACTGCTCACGGAAAATTGTTTTCAACATCCGAAGGTATAACTCTTTGTTAAGCGTTTAATCTCGAGGAGGAGGAGCGAGCGAGTCTATCACAGGAAATGTTTAATAATCGTGCGGGCTGTAATGGAAATGCGAAAAGCTTGTTCGATTTCCCCGACGGTGTTCCGCCCTCGGAGGACGGACGATTGATCGAAGTTTGTGAATCATTAGGTAGATTTGTGAGCTGGCATAAAACTGGATAACCCAGATTCAGCAGCGGCTTCATCCGGTAATGGGGTAGAACCGATCAAGGCCGGCTATAAATTCGGTGCTAAATAAAAGTTGTCGAAATGGTACAGCCGAATCATCGATATATCTCCGGGCGCTTTTAATAACCGTTATCGCGTCTGGCGTCGATTATTCCCAAAACGGTTGGAACCCGTTCCGAGCGAAACGGGAAACAGAATCCTCATTGTGACGCGTTTGAAAAAAACGTGATTCAGTCCCAGTGTTCACTTTGTATAATGAAATGCAATTGAAACGATATATTCAAAAGGCTGCACCTTTATTTTTCGCAACGATTTTGTTGCATAGTCGGGAACAGGGGATAGTTTTCGCGCGATAATGTCAAAAGATTCATCCCGTTTATCGGGTAGGTGACAGGGGGTGGGTCTGCGACCTCCAGCATTGTTCGCCACACAAAGGCCGGGCGTAATAAATTATCACCAGGCTCGGATCTGCCCCTGCTGCATATTACCACTACCTTGTATAGTAGTAACCTCTAAAATCTTTGAATAACCGAGGGCGGGGCGGGGTTCATTGATAAATTTCTGATTCGTAATTCCTATCTGTTTCGCGAGGGAAATTTTTATGATAAACGTCAGTTATATTTCGTGAAGCTAAGCCATATTTTTCGAATTTCAAAGCTTTCGCGCGGGCTATTAATTCTGGGGATAATTCACTGAATATTGGTCGGATTTTCGTATATCCTCGAAATTGAGTCAAGCACGGGTAAGAGATTCGAATATCATGATTGCAGCGGGAATGAGCGTAAGCATATCTGGTAAGTCGGTTTTCTGCGCTCGAAACGAATACAATCGTCCTGGAAATGCATCGTCGCGTGAAAACCGTGGGCAACGGTGTGCAAACGCGTTTATCACTGGTTCGTGTACGTTGCCGTATGCATGTCAACGGTTCCTGGTTACGCGCGTATGATTATCGAAATAAATCAGTCGACACGGGTTTTATCCAACCATTTGAATTCCCGTGGTCCATTGTTGGTCCACGTGTCGCAATTATGCTCGGATATTGCACGCTCCCGCTCGTTTGTTCACGCGTAGATAGATTTAGGAATCCCACCCCGGATTGCATTTCACAACTAACGATTGCAAAGCTGCTATTATTTATTTCATCGATATCGAACGAGTTAATTGTAATTATCAATTCACGTATACGAACGTATTTTAATATGTATTTATTTGGCAACTCGTGAAACAATAGGAAACGATATGATTTATTTATCGTTGAAAAATATATTCGGTATTTATGGCTGCGTCGAGACGGTGTCTCGCGCGCACACGTCCGTTTGGCTCGTTGAAAAAAATTTCCGGATCGGGGCTTTTCCAGGGAACAAACGAGCCTCGAAAAGAGTGGAGAAAAAATTGTGAAGGAAAGGGCGCCGGTAGAAAAGCCGTTCAGTCTGAAAAGAGACCTGCTTATCGCGGCTTTTCTCTCAACCCGCGCGCACAATAAGCTGATACTTGATTTTTCTTCAAAAGAGGAGGCCGACCGAGGCTGAAAAAGCGCGTCTTGACCGCGCGTCGTTACAAATTTCACCGACGCTCGTTATTCTCCCTTCTAAATAAGCGTGTTCAGGCGGAGCGACGTGAATAGCTCGGAGCTCGTGAATAGCGGAAAATTCGCTCGGGTAAACGGCTCGAGAAATTAACATTATGATCTTTGATTAAAAAAGTTCACAAATCCCTATTCAACCTGCTCCAATTCGCATTTTTTTAAATTACGTGGAGGACTTTTTTTTTTAATTAACTGCTTAAGGTCACGTGCATTTTCTCAGTAATGATAAATGCCGTCCTCTCGCGACTGTCAATTAGTTTCAATCTCCTTCTTACAGTGAGATTGATTCGAATCGTTAGCATGCACTAATTTGAATATTAAGGATCGCGGAAGCGTTGTTCAAATTCTATAAGAGGGGATCGCAGAGCAGCTTAACGAGCGTCGCGGCTGCTCATAAAAATTATACGAACCCCGGAGACCATCACCGTCTCTGTTTAACTTTCAAACCTCCGATGTCTCCTCGAGGCTAACGCCGAAGCGTCGAAGAATTCCGCGCGTGACTCTCTCGCGGAAAGAGACCGTTGGGAGATAGGAATTTCGGCCGCGGACAACTTCTCCCCAAGATGACGCGATCCCTTACAAGATTTATCACGGCTCGAATGTACCCGGGATACGCCCGCGTTCTTCCCTGCTTCCATACCGGGATCTCGGATGAGAAGTGGCCGGAAAAAGTGCGGTCTCCCATTCAACTCGCTCCTCCTGCTTATTCCGTGATAAATGCTCTCACCCAAATTCTGCTTTTTATTTTCCGCCCCTGGCAAAAAGCTTATGATCAAAGCGGCAATATGATTTTGAACAAAAAAAAACTGAAAACATGGAAGGAAGAAATGATGGAACAATTGTTTCATGGATTTTATTTTCCTCATAAGTTAACAATTGTCCGGTTAATAAGAATGTCAAGCTCCATCAGTCAGTTCGTTAAAGAGTATTTCATTTAAGGATGTACTGGCTATACAGTCAATCATAAAAGTTTATGCACATTAGAAACGCATTTTTTAAAAAGAACTCAAACGTCGGAAGAACATTGCTAATAATAAACAACAAAAAAAAATTTTCGATTTCTCCGAGATTTTTCCAAGGGGTACCCCTTCAATTGCTTCCAAATTTTCGTTTTTGGCCAATAACTCCCAAAC